TTCCTAAATATAATGATAGCAAGTAAAATATTGCAGGGGTGAATGAAGGATGAAGGTCAATTACTTAGCAGAGCAGACAATGTAGGAAGTATGATTCTATGTTTTAGGAGTCTCCTGACAGCATTTTTTGTGTTTTAGAGCTCTGCCCTTTGCTTCCCTTTCTTGCAAAATGTTCCCAAAGAATAAATCAATTCCTCTCCTAAMGTTTCTTTCTGTTCACCTCCTCATGCTCATAGCTCGCTATTTTTAAACAATACTTTCTCTTTGAATGAAGCATAGCCACTAAGAACATATTTTAGAAGTAAAAAGCAACACTGGTACTCTTGAAAATGAAAAAATAAATGTTAAGTGTTGCATAACTTTAAAGAGGTGATGTGCTGCMGAGGCACTGTACTACCCCCTCCAAAAATGATCATTTCAAATTCAAGCATTTCCCAAGCAACCCAAGCATTTCCAAATGCCTTTTAAGAGTGGCTCATGTAATTGATAGCTCACTTAGGTAAATGGCTATGCTCCATTCTGCAGGAGCGTGAACAGATGAGAAAAACCTTCATAGCTTCCTAGGTAGACATCTAAGTACATCTACCTGGCAGATCGTATGGCACAGTTCTCAATAGACAGATCTTTCCAATCAAGCTCAAAAGACATCAGGTGTCTGTTCTCATGAGCATTTATCTTTTTGTCCTCTTCCAACAAAGACACAGCATTCCAAGTGGCAGCTTCTGCCACAAAGGACTTGTGAAAGCCCTTCTGTGATTCAGCAGATCCATACTCCTTGTTCTCTTCTGGCCCCATCTGAACCTCACTGAARGTCAGGAAGAGATTACATTGATTTTGATGGAACTAGAATCAGGCTTCTGCTAGGGGCATGACTTCAGTTAATGAACTTACACTATTCTGAAAAGACRAAGGAACACTAAAGCCAATTTTTATTTAACTGAATGAAGACCAAGCTGCAGATGGGATCACTGTCCCTACCAGGAAGAGGTTTCTTTTCAAGGGTTTCTCAGTCTGCTGAGGCAGGACACAGCAAACACACTCCAGCACCTGCCTTCTCTCCAGCTTCCTAAAGCCTCTCTGTTCAAAAGGCACCACAGCGATGCAATGTTGACAGAACTATGGGCTGGCTGCACAGATGGTGAAGAAAAGTTAATTGATCTACTGGGATAGGAAGAGTTGGCCTGTGTGTAGAGGAGATTATGCAAGGAATATGCAAAGATCCATAATGAGCATTCATTAGCAGTGGAGAAGGTTCACTGCCACACATACAGATTCAACTACATTTATGCATTTCATGACACAGGTCCAGAATCCCATTTAATAACTGCTTGTTTTCACTTTAGGCAACTTATGCTTTCAAGTTACTAAGAAAAGTTTAAAAACTTCTCCTTTAAGGAGATTAAGGAAATACTTCTCCTTTAAGGATTAAGGAAAAAATTCCTTAATCTCAAATGACGTTTCTGCCAAGCTACCCTTCGCAGTAGCAAAACCATAATTTTTGTGTTCAAGAGGAAGCCTGCATTCTTCAAGTCTACTTCTATTTCTTGTTTTCTGTTGAATTTGTTTTAAAAGGAAAGACATCTCCTCATTTTGCTGCTGTATCTCCAAATTTTGCCATTCATTCAGTCATTGATGAATTAAACATAGGACTTTTTCTCTTCGATATTAGTTGCAAATCTACTGCAAACAACCAGAAGTTTGAAAACTGCTGTTTCAGCCTCTCCAAGGGCTTGTGAGGAACCTCCACAGGGCTCCCTCTGGSACTGGAATTTCTCTCTTGACCACTTGCTGAAAGGGATTTTATTCCCTCCCAGGCAAAGTAAGACCAAATACAGACTTCAGGAGCCCAGGAAAGCAGCTCAAAATTCCCTGCAAGGAGAGCAAGTTTAGTTCTGCTACTTGCCTTATTTTTGGAATGATGATGTTGACTACTGTAATTACACTGGCAGGCAGCAGGCAAGATGTGTTATCCCAGCTGCTAAAATATTAGAAGGATTTACTTACTGCAGGAGAAGTCTATTGTAGCAGCTGCTTCAATATGTATATTTAAACATAGCATAAACATCATGTATATATGTATTCAATGACAAAGTTCTTTGAGGCTGAGAGACTTGAACTGCAAAAAAATKAAACAAAAGCTTTCTCAGAGCTAAAGAAACTATTTTGCAAAGACGAAATCTTCATGGTTCTATATAAAATTCATTCTATAAGAAATTAGTTTTAAATGCACTGAATGAGAGTGACAGGAAAGAATGGGTGAGATCCTTTCTTCTCTGCTCTCCCCCAAACCATCCTATGCTATAAAAAGCTTTCAGAGACCCTGTTTTGGGCAATGAAACTAAGGAATGGCAAAATGAAGAGACCTCAGAGGATTTATGAGGTGAAATTCGTTCAGATGATACAAATGAACAGAATACGGGGGAATCACCAATGAACAGAATCCTGTTTTCTCCCAACTTTCTTTTCAGAGAAAGATGAATTGGAGGGCACATACCTTGCTGGAGTTTTTTAATCTGCAGGAGGATGAATAGGGTTATGTTCACTATTCTGGATAAAAGCTAAGGAAGGAAATGAAAGGCCCTGCAAGAATTAGATCTCYACAAGGCCCATTCCCAAGGGTGTTTTTGAAAGGCATCTCGGGCACAACACACCACGTACAGAAGCAGAAGGAATGGAGCAGGAGAGCGGTGTGTCCGGAGACCTGCTGCTTTTTTCTGGCTCTGGCATTTGCTTGTTTGGCTGCCTTATGTAAGTTGGTTTTTCCACGTCCCCATTTGTAGCATGGAAAGAATGATGACWACCCCTGCAAAATCCACTGAGGAAAAAAATTCTGAGGCGTTTTGAGTTTACTGGGAGAAGGCAAACTATAGTCTGCCCTTGCACCCGGGAGCTCCTCTGTAGTCAGCCGTAAGCTCGACTCAGCTCTCTGAATGGCTTCACACCTATTTGTATTAGGTGTTTGCACGCTTTTAAGACCAGTAAGGAACATTGTAACGTTTGAATTTGACCTCCTGCATAATGCAAGTGACATATTTTCCTCTAGTAATTGCTGCAGTGAATTTATTTTTTAATAACAGCATATATTTTTAATCCAAACTGTCATTCAGGTCCTCAGAGCTGGGAAAATGAAGACAAGCATTACAGAAAAGTTTCTGATTCACCTACTCCGAGGATTTCTGCTTTGCACTCATAGCTTTTGGCAGACTTACTGTTGGGAGATATTTTCTTCTCCTTGGTTATAAATATTCCATGCAGATTTTTAATTAGAGAAGTGTGTTTGTTGGCTGAGACAAAAGTAATTGCACATCCCTTTACCATTTGGGCTTCATTCATCTGGATGGACTTACACTAACATATGAGATCTCTGAATAACTGAACAGAAAAGTATGTTATTGAACTAAAAGTTTAATTGCTTCTACCAGGAACCATCTCTCATGGCTGGGCAGCAAAACAAATATTTGATCTGCTCTGCCCTAGAATTAGCAACAGATGGAACGAGCTACTGAAATAAAACATACACGTTTCCGCCAACTATTGTTGAGGTTTAAACTGATCTTGTAAAATGCCTTCTATATTCAACAAGCAAGAAGAAAATTAAAATTGAGATGGTTATAGCTGCTGTGTTTGACCTTGAAGTTCACGGCGCTGATTTATCACGAAGGAAACATGATCTAATGTATAATGCACAAGAGCAGAAATGATTACACATCCTTACTATCCAGATGTGATACCAACAGTGATTTGGCAAGGCTCAGATCATTCCTCTCCTACAGGGGTCAATAATTAAATACCTCAAGGAGCTACTGTGGAACTCATTTACCTAAAGCTTGTGAAGATGCTAGAGATTTTTCAGGAGGTAGAAAGTGCTGCTGCCTGTCCATAGCTACCTTGGATTTTGCCCCTGTGTTTTGATGCAAAATCAGACAGTGACACAGAGACATACACTCCTGATCCAGAAAATGAACACAACCCTGGGTATTCAGAGAGAAATAATGGGGATAGGGATGTTCAGACAAGAGTCTAGGTACAGCTGGCACATGCACCAGAGAGATGTCTAGACACCACAGTGTAAGGCATAAGCACTGGACAGACACACAAGCATGCAGCAGGCAGACAGATAAGTATGTGAGTATGTCCAGGAACGGTGAGGGCCTGTTTTTGTTTGTTCTAGGGCTTCTGCTTAGTATTCTTTGTGATTTTCAAATTTCTCAGGCTCTCGTATTTTATACAATTATTTTCTACCATTATGAAGAGATAGTTTTGCTGTTTTCTTTCCTCTTTTTTTCCAAAGATTTTTATGCCCTGAAATGCAACAATAAGAGGACTTTGGAGCAGCCAAATTGGAAAGGCATTCTTTCCATAATACAGACAATTACGATGTACAAATTTATTGCTCAACACTCTTTATTCTGTACAATGACTCCCATTCACCATACATGCTCAGTTTTAAGCAGGATGATCTTAAAGCAGTTTAGACCCCAACTGTTTCCATTATGACAAGCARGCTGTAAAACGTAACCGGCATTCAAAAGGATAATTCCAAAGGGCAGGAATGYGCTGCATGCTTAAATTTAGTCTAAGTCTGAGTAAGAGCACAATTTCCACAGACTGACACCTGAGCCATACTCAGACAAGGTACATTGCACACAGAGATCTAAAAGCACTRCTCGGTGCTTTATTATTCTCCTGTGCATTCGTCCAGGATACACAAATGTGATTCGGAGTTGGTATTTCATATGCAAATGCATRGTGACTTTCCAGATCACTGGCAAAATGAAGGAAAGAAAAGCAGCTGTTGAGAAGACAGCATGTCCTGTTATTTATTCATGAGCAACTGGATGGAAAGACGAATGAGTCTTCTACTGCGAACAGTAAGATAAATGTAAGGATAAGGAATTATATACGGTGTTCCCAAAAGTCTAGCTTCCCATTGGTATATYGGGTCTCATAAGAGCCGAAGAGGAACGTGAACTTGGATTCACGCTGGCAAATGTTTACAGACAAGTCTGTCTTCCAAGAGATAACTATACCACTGCTATAGTCATCGCTGAAACGCCACTACTAAGTCCCACTTTCCATGAAAGAAATCACTGCTTATGCTCAAGAAACAGGCAACTCTGCCCCCCAGAAACTAAACGCTAAAGTCACAGGCCCAAGATATCTTGACAAGTAAATSGGCTGCTTTGTTTGATGCAAAAGAAACCTTGCTATTACAGGAGTCATTCTSATCTGCTCAAAATGCCGAGCGCCCTGGTCAGTGCTTTCAATTGCACACTGCCCTTTCACAGTGCTGTTGTAGTGGCAGGACAGAGAAACAGAAGTGTAAGCTTTTCACTAAATGAAAGTGATAAAAAAATCCACCTCCTAAGAGCAGGATATGCTTTAGTATTTTTTCAGCTGCTTGTTTTTGCCTCCTCACTTACTGTAAAAAGTGCCATTCTTCCTATATTTTTCTGTGTCTTTTAAATTGATGGTTGAATTCCAATAAATCCTTTCTCCCTACACTTCAGAATGCCTTTAGTTTTGCAGCAGCTCTCTTTTTTATCTAAAATATAGCTAGATGGCCAAAAACAGTACCTTTTTCRTGAGTTAGTGGAATGTCAGTAGCTAGGAGATGTGGGTGCCAAACAGGTGAGCCCTGCACCGTGGCTTCCTCCTTTGTTTCAGCTGATTTTTGGAAATTATCCAAGCAGCAAGAGAAACCTGCAGCAACTGTGTGTGTCAGCCTTCCTCAGTGTATTTCCTGACATGTAAAGATGATTTGACTGGAGTAGGTCAACTCAAGTAATTAAGGACTAAAACAGACCAAGACATTTATGAACCTTTCAAAGTGATTCACCTAAAATGAACATCTTGAGTTCCGGGACGACTTAATGCATGTGGACAAATAGACAGAATCAGAAAACTTTAGAAAAGATAAATAGCCAAAATTATAATTCATACCAGCAGTCCTCTATACTGCTTTYACAGTGCAAAATGGATTAAAGGCAAGCATAAATGTAAAACTATTTAAAA